CAGCCCCACAACGCGGCGGGGGGGACGCAGTTCCCCTCGGGCAGAGCTGGCTCCCCAGTCCCCGGCCAGTCCACATCCCAGAGAGATGCTGTTTCGTTCCCCCTCCTCCGCTGAGGGTCGTGCCCAGCGTCTCAGGGCCACCGGTAGTTGGTGGGAAAGGGAGGCTGGTCCAGCCCGGGGACACCGGTGTCCTGCTGAGCCTCCCTGGGGTGCCTTGCCGATGCCTTTGGTGCATCCGGGGTACCACTACTGGGGGTAGGAGGAAGGGCAGAGAAGGCACAAGGGCAACACGGGCTGCAGGAGCTGGTGAAGCTCCGGACAAGGTAAAATAATCAGCCCAGTGGGAGGTGGTCCAGCCCGGGGACACCGGTGTCCTGCTGAGCCTCCCTGGGGTGCCTTGCCGATGCCTTTGGTGCATCCGGGGTACCACTACTGGGGGTAGGAGGAAGGGCAGAGAAGGCACAAGGGCAACACGGGCTGCAGGAGCTGGTGAAGCTCCGGACAAGGTAAAATAATCAGCCCAGTGGGAGGATCACTGCAGCTCCCCTCGGGCACAAAGGGAAAGGTCCTTGCGCTACTGCCTACAGGTCCTGCTGTCCTGGCAGCGGGTGCGAGGCAGATTTAGGGCAACGACTCGGGTAACTGCTTTAAACCTTTCCTCTGCCCCTTTTCCAGCACTCGCGCCAGGCACTGTTCTTGCTGCTGCTGCTTCTTTCACTCCAACACCCGGGCCCTGCCAAAACCGAAATGGCCAGAGTGTCAACAGCTGCCACAGGCGGTACGGCAATACCGGAGGCTGCGAGGGTGGCTGGAAAGCACCGCCACGCGCCCAGCCGGTCAAACGCCCCCCCGGCACCCGCTCTCAGCGCTGCGGGAGACGGGACGACCCCGTACACCCCCTGCTCATTAGGGCCAGCTGTACGGGGGAGCACGGCCGGGTTGCAGCAAGGACTGCCAGCTTGGCTGGTTTCTTCCAACATCCCCAAGGCTGCCACGAACAGCCTGGCTGGGG